CCGCGGAAGGTCATAAGCCCTCGGCTATCAGTAACCAAATCGGACACCTGTCCAATCACCCGCTCCCTCTTGCAGTTCTCCGGTCTCACAGCCTCTGTCTGAGCCTCTCGAATGGTATCCAACACCGGAGTCATCACCGTCATTTTCTCAGCTAACCTGCAGTAAACGGTCATAATGACTGAATGTGTACGGTTTAACAAGTTGAAGAATTAAATGTGGACGAAAAAAAAACTCAGTGACCAAATGTGTACAAATCGAAAAATATATTACTCTTTTAAGTCATTATCCCTTTGGATAATGTTACAATATATTTTTAAGTTATTAAATGAAGACCAACACTTTCAAACTAACATTGGATGTGCTTAAGGGTAATACCAATTTAGGTGAAAATTTAATATATTCTCTAAGTGAAAGGAAAAAAAAAACATTTTAAAGAACTCTTTTTAATGTAGCTATTTGGTAGACTTTGACATGTGACGTGAGTATTGGTTTGACTTTGATTGGTGAAGGGAATAGAACGGTGTGAGAACATACATAAAAGCGTGACCTTAAATCTTTGAAAATTCATACCCTCTCAAATGTGTGCAGTTATGTGTTCTCACAAAAACCACACTTTTTCTCGTTTCAGAAACATCTTGGAAGATACATCTCTAATAAAAATATTCGAAGTTATAATCACCGATTTGCCAACAATTAGTGTATTTTCAAATTATTAGTCTTTTTTTTTTCTAAATAGTTGATGGTTAAATGTGATTACAAAATTATATTATTACAATATTCATATAATTCTTTGAACAAATCAGTTTTAGCCTTTTAGGAGACGTAATTCGAGCCATTAAATACTTGCACTTTAGAAACAAAACATAATGAAATCCAAAATTTGTCAATTTTTTTTCGTTTTTATTCTAATTTAATCAGACGAAAATGATGTAATGATAACATATGTAATTAACAAATAAGTTTGTCAAAATCAATCCAGCTACTGCAAAAGTCTATTCACCGACCCCCATAGGTCTTTCACTTTCTTTACATAAAGTTCTTTCTTAATTCTAATAATGTTTTGTACATGAGTATCATACAAAAAACAAAAAAAAAATCAAAATGTTTTAGATTTTTAGATATAAACACAAATAATTAAAATTGGCCTGCCCGAATATCTCTATCGACTCGTTCTGCATTAAATGTCCCGGGAAGTTCTCTGAAATCTTCGTTGAATATCGAATAAGCACTACACAAGTTCAACAAAGAGGATTAACATTTAACAGAGCAGGACAAAACATAACAGGTTATACTGTGTTTGGCATGCATTGGACTAGGACCTGGACTCATGTCAATGGACAAAAATTACAATTTTTTGTCCTGCCCACAAAGATGGAGAAAGGTGGGGGATGAGGATTCGTTCTCGATCTCTCCGGTGTTCAAAAGACATAAATACCCTCCTCATCTTCATCAGCGAAAATAGCCATAAAGTTGACGGATAAAGTTACCTCATATCACCCTGTTGCCGGTGGCCAAGATTCAAAAAGATGATGGCAAAGCCAGTTCCGAGTATCTATAAATAAATGGAGAGTATTAAAAAAAAACAATTAGAGATGCACTACAAGTTTACAAGTTTAGACTGAGACTGATGTCAAAAGGACAAAAACTGTAATATTTTTTTCCACCCAAAGACTTGCTCTCTATCATTTGTTTGTATAAAAGACGTGAATACCCTCCTTGTCCTCGTTATTAAAACTAGAGCTATGGAGGGCATTCATGTCTTTTGCATATACGAGAATCGAGAGCGAAAGTCTCTATCCCACTTTTTAGGGTTTAGTGAAGAGATGAAATTTGTGAATCTTTCATAGAAGATTTACTTACGTATAAAGGTCCAATATCCCATCTATGAGCAATAGGTGCTAAGATAAACCACATAATGATTAGGGCCCACACCTTCAGACTGAGAGAGAAGATTGCCATCAAAACCATATCTAATGAAGATTTAAAAAAAA